CAACAAAAGAAAGAAGAGAGAGAGAGAGAAAGAGAGAGAGAGAGAAAAAGAAAGGAAACATTCATTATTTCCCTTTGAATGATTTTAATATATGTAAAAGAGAATAGAAGCCATTTTTTTTTTTTACTGGCTAATTTCAATTTATAAGAGAAATCGATTTTTATTTGGTATTACTCAATGAGTAAGGATGAAGAGATAGATACATTTGAATATACTTTCCTTCTAACATTTTTTTTTTTTAAACAATTTACTCTTTTTTTTACGGTAGAATAAAGATAAAATTAAATATAAAAAGAAAATTAAAATTGAATATATTAATTTAAAGCCAATTATAAATATAAAATTTTCCTTCCTTCGTTTCTTGTTTTACAACTTATCAGTATTTATCGGGATCGGAAATTGAATACGAAAACAAAAAAAAAAAAGACTGAAGGCTTAGATAGTAGTAATAGGAATCAAGATTGTCATCAATGGAAGATATATTTATGTTGAAGTGTGCCGCAGGTGTTCATGACATATCGTTGACTTCAATTAATTATCCGAATATAAGCGGATAAGGCATATTTATTAGTCTATGATGATGTGATGGTTGATCTGATTTTCCGAAATGTATATGAAATCAAGCAAATTATTAAAATACAATACAATATTCTAATCACAATTATCTTTCTTCATTATCATAAATGTTTCGAATATTTGTGATATCAGTATACTATGTGATGAATATTTATCAATTTTTTGAAAATTAACTTATCAGTAAGCAATCATCAAATTATTATCTTAAATCTAATGTTATATAAAGAGTAGAAAACCATTGGTATAATATTAAATAATACCGGATGACAATTTCTTTCCTCAATATTAATTTTCCAAAAAATACTGGCAAATGATCAGTTATTTATGAATTTGAACAATTTAGTTCCGGACAAGGATTATTTAAATGCTTGTCATTTGTGCTAATTTTAAGATTACTAATTCTTGTCCGGAACTAATTAATCATTTTTCCATCCATTTCGTAGTAAAAAAAAAAAGAATTTGATGTATAATAAATATAAATGGATTAATAGGAATGAGTGAAATGATTAAATTGAGTGCATCCATTTGTTTCTAATCCAATCTTTGCATAAATGAAGTATTTATGCTATTATTGTTATCGATTAACATGTGTCAATTTTAAATTAATTTCTGTCAAAAAAAAAGATTTCCAGTTTTCTAATTAAGTTTTTAATTAAATGATCAATTACATGGGTATTTTGGAATTTACATAGAGATTTTGGATGTAACACGAGGTTAAAGAAAATGATCTTTGAAATTTAAAAATTATTTTCGTTGGGACATTTCCAATATGATTGATAATAGTAATGGTTAGTTAGCTAGTAATAGATGAGGAAGAGAAAAACGAAAGAAATTACTTCATTTGCTCTTCGTTTTTCATTTTTTTTTTTTTTTTTTTTGTCTTGCTTCTCAAACTATTAGTTTTTGAGAATTCGATTTTTGAAAAATTTATCGTTCACTTTTATAAATTTCCGTTCCTTCTTCCGGTGCCCCCCCCCCCTCCCCCCCGTTGATATTATTTATCTGTGAGTGAATTTATAGCTTCTTTTCTTTTTTCGAACAGATTTATTACCAATTTGATAATTTCAAATAAAAATGAAAATGGTCAAATGTAACAGCAAAATTGTTTCGTCCTGAAAAAAGGAAAAATTCATCAAATTTTGAACGGAGAAAAAAAGTGAAAAATTTTCAAAAAATAAAAATAAATAAATTAGTTAAATTTAAATTTAAACTTCTACTTTCCCTCTTCCTTGTCCTCTCTTTTCAAAGATTTCAATCTTTTCCTAACCATAATTCGAATCTTCAAATTAAACATTTCAAGAAAAAAAAACAACAACAACGATATGAATCATTGAATAAATAAATGCTCGATTTACTTTTTTTTTTTTAATAAGCGATATCCATTTATAAGCAATTTGTCAAGAATAAAAGAGTGCGGGAAAAAGACAGGAGAGGAAAGTGCGGGAGGCGGGAAAGTACGGGAATGACATGGATAAATAGGAAAAGTCAAGATAAGAAAAAAAAAAGAAATGAACATTCTCAAAAAGCACTTTCCCCAATTGAACAATCAAATGCTATATCTCATCATGAGTTAACGATCTAATGAAAAAAAAAAGGAAAAAACGGGATGATGA